CTCCTCCTCAAGATGCTTTCGAAAACACGCTCGCCGAAGGCACGTCGTGGGCTTCTTCTGCTACGCAAAATAACACGGTGTTGCCTGCGCTGTAACATTCGCTCGTCACCCCCCGGTAGCGCAGCCGTGGAGTTGTCAAGGCAAACAAGGGCTTGAACCGCGGTGACTACTGTAGCACTCCAAGGACCGGAGGGTTTTGGCTTGAGAAACTGGTCCTACGTCCGTACTTGGCCCTCGTGAGGGGAAAAAACCAAAGTAGCATCATAGACTGCTGCGTACGATCGTATGCGTCGGGAGGATGTAGAAAAAAAGCAAACCGAGTGGTTGATCGCCGGATGGGAGTAGCAACAGCGAACCGAGTGATTGATTGCTGGATCGCAGTAGGTACTCCAAACCAAAGTGGGTGATTGCTGGGTGGGAGTAGGTGAAGCAGATTGCTGGACCGGAGCAACTACACAGACCAAAACCGAGTGGTTGATCAACTAGACGCAGCATGCGCAGCACCCAAAGAGGGCGGCGGCGGCGGCGTGCGTACAAACTCTCGCCTGCTGGCTTCTTCGTCTCTGGCGGCCCTCTCTTCCTCCAGGAGCTCCGACAATCGCGCCGCCTCCTCCTTCGTGGCAACCCTCTCTCGCTCTCTCCGGCCCACCTCTTCGTGCAACAGGTTTCCTAACCTGGCCGCCTCCGCCGCCGCGGAGTCCCTCTGCTCCTCGAGCTCTCTCTCCTGAAGGTTAACGGCCGAAACGACCCGAAATGAGGTTCAACGCGTTAGAAAAACGCTTTCAAAGTCTACGCGACCCCGTGGCAGAGGTTCAACATGCTTAAAACAGGTTTTGTGCATACATAGGCCGATAATCGAGCTTCAACTGGAAAACGGGTTATAAAGCTATGATCCATGTTGTAGAGGTTTAACATTTTCGTCGGCTGTTACCCATGCTAGAGGCTCAACATGCCTTTAGGATATACGATATGTGCAATTGAACCGTCTTGGATCGGTCGTAGTCGACACGAAAGGTTCGGGTACAAGAGACCTACCGAACCACAAAAATACGGGGATTCGGTCTATCGACACAGCCGAGATTCCAGAATAGTGTTCAATACTACCACAACGGTTTCCGCGAGAAGGGCACCATAGCAACGACGTGAGTTTGTTGAGTCGGTGGCCAGTGGGTCCGCTCATGGCACACACATGACATTCCACGTCGCTTGATAGCTAGAATCCATGATCGTCACCCATGACCACCGATTCTGGATTGCTGCAGAGACTCTATCGACAAGACCGAAGGCTACATAACCCGAACACGCACAGCAGTCGGTGCATGAGTACCTCGCGTCCAACGCGAATGAATGCGTCACTGGGATGACAAGAATTCAGCTCGTCTACAGCATGATTCGCCAGGGGAGGGGAGGGATCTTGAAGAAGTGTCTGCTATCTCGAATGAGTTGCAAGAAAACACGTTCTGCCTAGCCCCCGTCCAAGCAGTTCTATAAAGATTTGACGCATGTTGAAGTCCTATCAATAGCTCGTTTGTTGTTGAGAATGCCGGGTAGACTCCTCAGCGACCTCGCCGAACTGTGCCCATCCTTCAACACAAAAGCCTGCCCCAAGAATACGTCCAGGCTTCTAGATCACTATTCCCATCGTCGAGTGTGCCTCACTCAAACCGATGAAGACTTGAGCACATCCTCCGTGAGCTTCGCCTCGAGTAGGTAGTCGTCCGAAACCAAAGAAAACAAGCATACACTTGAGCCTCACCCAACAACAATACCCCACGCAACCATACCTTGTCTCGGCCGCGGGAAATTTCCTGAGAGTTCGACAGGAACTCTCTCCGGGCTTTCTCGACGCTCTGGACCTCTTCCTTGAGCTGGGACTGTAGGGTTTCCTGGGATCGCAAGAGGCGGTCCTTGTCCTGTTGCTGCTGGAGGGCCTCCGTTTTGTAACGGTCGATTTGCTCCGAGAGGGCGGAGAGCCTTTCCTCCAGCAGAGACGCCTTGCCCTCTAGCAACTCCGTCTGGGCGTATTCGTCGCGCGCCAAATCGCAACGTCCGTGTCAACGTCGAGTCGCAAAAGTGAGCAGTCAGCGGTAGGGGAGGAATGCTCGCTGGTTTGTTGTTTTGCGATCGTGAGTTGGCCAATGATCTCTCGCGACAACCCTTGCGTTTGATTTGCTCATGTGCATGGAACTATTTACACCACAACATCTGAGCAGGGGGGCGGGGGGGGCGGGTGGCTGTCATCGGTTGTGAGAATTTGTGTATGTGAAAGCAAAAAAAATGAGAAGAAAAAAAAAAAACTCAACCCCTCATCGCGCACATGGTCGCCTTGGCCCGGCTTCCGGACGTGCCGTTGCTGACCAACCCCCTTTCCTTTTGTTTTCCCACGACACCGTTGAGTCTAGCCTATTGCTCCAAGAACGATGCTGGCAAGGGTTCAACAGCCGGACGATGAGTCTCTCGCCGTACATTTCAGGAAAATTCAGGACTAAAAAAAAAACGGTGAGCCTACTCACGACGGCTTAGACGTATGGTGAGCAGGAGGTATGGAAAAGCATTCTTCATCGAAAAATCGGGCAAACCAAAAACACGCTGTTTAACGTCCACAGTGGCGTGGAACGATTTGAATTTGCTACCGACGGACAACGGGAATCGTCATGGCTCCCGGGCAGAACCCATTGTGCATTAAAAAAACTTCGAGACCCGAAAGGGCCGGAAAACAATGTAGACCTCAATTTTAGCCCGCACGACGACTCGCTTTATCAACGTTACGGTTTGAGGTCGAAGTTCTAACTCACAAGACGGCTCGACTTGTAACGGTTTGAGGTTGACGCTCTAACTCACATGGCGACTCGCATAACCAACGTCAGGATTTTACTTGTCAACGTCACGATGTGAGGCCGAAGCTATAACTCACACACACGACGGCTCGCCCTACCGTCAGGATTTGATGGCCGAAATCCCAACTCGCACGACGACCTGCCTTATCAACGTCGCGATTCGCGGTCGAAGTTCAAACTCGCATGACGACTGTGCCTCATCAACGTCACGATTAGAGGTCGAAACTCCAACTCTCACGATGGACTCGCCTTATCTTGGAGCCGCTGGCGGTGGCCCCTCTCCGCTTCCAGTTCGTGGCAGGCGGCGCGGTAGTCACTCTCAGCCTGGAAGCGTGGCGTCATGAGCTAGCTGATTAGGTTGTTGGTCAGCAAGGGCACAGATGTCAATCAAGCTGTGCAGGCCATTCGGTTGCATTGCCGATCCGAACATGGTTCTGACAGCGTTCTGCTTGAACAGCAACGGTACATACGCCAATCAAAAAGCAAAAAGTGAGTGTTTTTCACGGTAGTTTGGGTGAACAATAATCTGTTCCCCGATCACACAGTTCACAAGACTGGTGGACCCTAAACCCAACCCTAACCCAACATCTGCACCCCAAGACTCACGGAAACCGCCGCCTTGTCGGTGGCATCCTTCAACCGCTTCAGGTGCGCTCGCAACACCTCAACCTGGGGAGCAAAATAGTGTGCCGTGGATGGCCAAAGAAAGAAAAACACCAACGGAAAACGACTCGATCAGGCGAGGAGCACAGGGCGTGGCATGTATGCAGTACGGTCAACCGTAAACGACACAAGATAACACACCCCCTGGACCGATTTTCAAAGCTCTATTACTCCACGACAAAGAGGATGCACAAACAAAATTATGCATTTCCGAAAAATTCTCGACGAGACGGTTCCAACGCCGTCGTTTTCGGCGCTGTGGCTCTTCCTGGTATTGAGAAATCGAGCTTTGAAAATCGGTCCAGGGAGTGTGTTATCTTGTGTCATATACGGAAGTGACCGCGTCACACGCTTCCCGGACACAGCCTCACTACACATCATCATCGAACCTGGCAGGAATGAAAATATATAAACCGTCACAACAGCAGCAAGACAAAGGTACGTACAACGTCTGGCCTGATAGAACGCCAGTCCGGGGAAGTTCTATCAAACCCTTCGTCATCAAAACGTGGCAAGAAGAACAAGATTTCAACCACTTAGAAGAACAGCAGCAAAAAAAAGTACAACGTTCGGCCTGATTAAACATTAGTTCGGGGAATTTTCCGAAAAGGGTAGGGGTATTAGTTTCGAACCAAACAAACGGAACAGCACACCGGACTCAGAAAAACAAACCTTTGGTGCGCTTCGAACTAAGTTCAAAATGACTCGAGCACGGGAGGAAAGGCCAAGCGCACCCGGACATTGACGGCGCTTACCTCGCGCTCTTCCGAGACTAGGGAGTCGCGGAGGGCCCACTTCTCTTGCTCGACTCTCTCGATCTTGGCGTAGCACTCCTCCCGGGCATCCAGGGCCGCTCTCCGACCACCATACTTGGCCTGACGGCGCAATCAAGTGGTTTATTGATACACGGAGATGTAAAGGTAGAATGAAGGTCATGAAATGACGGAAATTCGTCTCAGGGCAGCTCTCCGACCACCATGCTTTGGCCGCACGGTGCCATCAAGAGGATGGGGAAAATATCGCACTCGGAATGGTCACGTGACGAAATGATGAAGAAATGGGTCGGCGAAAGCAACCATCATCACAAGAAAAAAAAAAGAAGAGATATGCGCCAACCGCCGGAAGCGGCATCACCCTATTTTCAGCCCGAAAACAAGGAGGAGGTTGTTGTTGTTGTTGTTGTTGTTGTTGTTGTTGTTTTAATCACATCAAAAACCGTTCCGGTCTCCGCTCAGTACCTTCCATTGTCGGTACTGCTCCAACTGACGAGGACGCTTTCCGTGGTCACAAGCCAACTACCCCAATAAAAAAAATAAAAATGGACCTCAGAAGGGTTCTCCAAGACGCGATTTGTTTCTCAGGTGAAGGGGGCTAACGCGCCCTCAAACTGTCCCGCTAGCACTATTCTCGGGGATGTACGCTGGCACGGTCAGCGGTCAGCAGACCATAAAACTGGCATGACAAACAAAACGCTGTAAAACTCGTCTTGAAAGGATTCGAGGCACGTGTGTGTCGCCCTCAACACGTCTGTGTGAGACACATCGCTTCTTCTTTTAAGACCCTCCCGTTCGCAAAAAAAGCGCCGTTGCGTACTCAGCTCCAATCGGTAAAAAAAAGTCGAAAGCTATCTCGGTATTCACAGAAAAGCGATCACAAAGCAATATTCTTGCAAAGGAGCACTTTGCCCACATGTCACCATCTGTTCCTGAAGCCTTGGAATCCTGAAGCCACCTCGGTAATCATGAAAAAACCACCAAGGCGAAATTCTTGCGAAAAAAAGGCGAAGTTCTTGCGAATTACTACGAACCTCGCCTCCGACATGCCATTTACCTGCTCCTGAAGCCTGACAAGCTTCCGTTCCGCCGCCTGCAGGCGTCCCAGCTCCGCCTCCCACCGCCCCCGTATCTCTCGCAAGCCCTCCATGGCGTCGCCGCCGGCGTTCTCGACCTTGCCCGTGACCCACGCTCTGAGCCCTCTCGCCCCGTCGACCCGCCGCATGATTCGGGACAGCACTCGCTCAAGCCTTGGAGAGGATTGTCATGGGGAGGAGGAAGAGGCGTCGCGGAGCAGGGGTGGGGGGTTGGTGTCGGGGAGATTGGGAATAGGGATAGGGTTAGGGATGCAAGAGGAGGAGGCAGCAGCAGTCAGCGAGCGAGCGAGAGGCTTCGCGGGGGTGGTGTGGGGGAGAAAAAGGCTACAAAAAAGGCTAGGGCTAGTGCTAGCGCTACAGATAGAGGAAGAGACAAAACGACAACAAGGGAGAGGCGGGGCGGAGAACGGGGTGCGGGGTGGTTATGGGGGAGATGAAAGGTCAAAAGATGGGGTTAGGGATAGAAGAGGAGGAAGCAGGTCATAAGCGGGGTGCGCCGCGGGGCACGGGGGTGGGGGAGGGTGTCGTTTTGCGGCGAAAGGGTTACTTAGCGTCAGAGTCAAGGTTGGGGTACATGTATTAGGGATCCAGTAGGGTTAGGCTGTTAACGATGACACGCCCTGGGCAAAACGCCCGACCCTGATTTGACATCGAACCACTACCCCTGTTCGACGTCAAGCCGGCACGACCAGAACCGTCCGAAGAGTGTCACGCCCCCATCCCAGGACCAACCCTCACCATTTCATCGAATCGTTCTGGTCGACGACCAGCAGGACTAGAGTACTCAAGTAGAAGTATAAAATATCGCCCTAAACGTGGCATGTCCCCATCCCAAAATCGCTTCCACCTGACCCTCACTACACACCGAACCGCGTCTGTCGGACGTCCGACAGGCGGCACAAGCCACATCCGAGTTCGCTTAACAGCGTCCAAGCCTCCTGGGCTATGTACGTTCGACTGACACAATCCAAGGGAGGTTGTCGTGAAACACACCACCTCCCGACAACCACCCGATCATCATAGTTATGCAGGAGTATATTCTTAGCGCATTACGACGTCGACCATACGAAAGATCATCAATCACCGAAATCGACATCACAATAGTTGAGGCGGTTGGTCTTTCCTAAAATATTCGCGACCGAGCGACCACTCGTGGGAGGTGGTGCCACTGGCAAATCCAGGCAGGAGGGCCAACCCACGGCTGACCCACAGCTGCCAGCTGTGATGAGGTTTCCCAAGGTCGATAGCAAATAGATCAAGACAGCTGACGCGTTTTTAACTCGAACGGATGTGATGGAGGTCCCCAAGCTCGATAGCAAATAGCTCAAGACAGCTGTCGTGCTTTTGACTCGAATGGCTCCACCAACCTTAACGAACTAAACAAAGAAAATAAAAAATCACAAATCAGTTTACACCGCGAAAAAGAAAATTCTTGAGATTCTTGAGAAAGATGTACAAATCAGTACATAACGTATACGGCACGAGATAGCACACCACCTGCACCGATTTTCAAAGCTCGATCACGCCGCGACGAAGAGGATGCATAACACGAAACGATACACTTTCGGAGAGCTCTCGACGAGACTGCCTCAACGCCGCCGTTTGTCGGCGCTGCGACTCTTTCTGCTGTTGAGAATCGAGCTTTGAAAATCGGTCCAGAGGGTGTGTGTTTCTTGTGTCGTATACGGTAGTCTTACTGTACGCTTGACAGTAGGCGGCGAAACGGGGTGTGGCAACGTCTCGTCGAAGATGACGCCATCAATACGAAACGTTATGTGATATGGGGCAACGGGACAGTTCCTAGGGAGGACACAACAGCGGCGGTGATCGGACAAGACAACGAGACCGTCGCCTTTTTTTGAACTCGCTTTCGCCCTTATTCGACAAAAAAAAAAGCTTGATGAGACGACGGTCCCAACACCGACACTCTCAGTACCGCCCGGGGTCTTGCAACGGCAACTCTGCCGTGCCTCTTCCTGCCTCCTGAGCAAGGGCTCTTCAATTTCCCAAGCATTTGTATGGCCATCCCAGGCAGGCACGTCTGTAAGCGCAAGGCTTGCTGTCAACCGCGACATACTACAGAATGACCATGACATGACAACAACGGCAGGCAAGCGCACCTGGCCACCATGGCGGCCGCATCGACCGCAGAACCAGCTGGAACCGCGCCCCCGCCGCCTTCCCCCCGTCCATATCTCCTGCAACTCCCGACGGGCAAGACTGATCCGTCCGAGAACGAGACCGAAACACCACCACCTCCTCCTCCTCCTCCTCCTCTGCCTCCCGGCGTTGGCGTCGTCGGTGTCCTTGGCGCCTCCCCCATCGCCGTCGCCGCCGCCACCGCTGTTGACCTTCCCGGCGACCTCAACGCCGCCCGGCCGCCCTCCCCCGCCGCCGCTGCCGGGCGGCGAGAAAACCAGCATCGCTCCGGGCCCTCCTCCTCGCCGCCACCGCGGCGGCGGCCCTCAGAAGCAGCGTACGCGCCAATACCACGCCCGCGTCCCTCCGAGCGGCAGTCATCATCACCACCGCCCCCGCCGCCGCCGCCGCCGCCGCCGGCAAAGTCTTCACCCCCCTGGTGGAAGGGTTCCCATCCGCCGATCCCCTGCAGGGCGTCCGCGAGGGCGTCCTCCACGTCCTGCAGCGCGCGCGTCATGGAGTCCTACAGGTATGTGCATGCCCACGGACACAGGTAAGGGCGGCGGCGGCGGCAGGAGGTAGTCAAGGCAGGAAGGTGGTACAGCGCAAGACGCCGGGGGTGGTACAACGCCGGGGTTGGCACATTTTTATTCCGACCGCGCGCATAGCGCGCGCATCATGGAGCCCTTAACACCACGGATCGGGAAGGGGCGGCGGGAGGTGTCAGGCAGGTACAGCAGTAGTGGGCACTGCTGTATTGTGCCGCTCGAATAGTGCCGGGTGCCCGGCATAGTAGTCCCGGTGATTTCGGCTACCACACCACTGAAATACCAAGCCGTTCTGTACTTTGAATATTGCCGGTGTCCGGAATAGTGCCGGTGATTTCGGCTACCACACAACTGAAATTCCAAGTCGTTCTGTACCTTGAATAGTGCCGGTGTCCGGTACAGTACCGGTGATTTCGGCTACCACACCACTGAAATTCCAAGTCGTTCTGTACTTTGAACAGTGCCGGGTGCCCGGTATAGTGCCGGTGGTTCCGGCTACCACACCACTGAAATACCAAGTCGTTCTGTGCCTTGAATAGTGCCGGTGTGCGGAATAGTGCCGGAAAAAATCTCTGGACACATAGCGGCACCATACAGGGCCCAGTACTAGTACTGTCCAATGCAAGACAACGGCCGGCGGAGCAGCACCCGACAGCAGAAGTAGCGACGGTCGTACAGCACTCCGTTTTCGGTACAGTACCGTAAGGTTGCGAGTCAGCGAACAGGGGTGCGATCCTTTTTCAAAGCGTAATTTCTCCACAAACAGGAGGCTGCGAGCGCCGACTGATTCTTCTTAAATAGGAAAACTCTCGATGAGATATTTCCGAAAAACGCCTTTTTCAACTGTGGTAACCTCCTGTTTGTTGAGAAATTTCGCTTTGAAAATCGATCGCACCCCTGTGCGTTGACTCGCAAGCTTACGGTACTCCGGGTTCGGGGCATCGCGACGAATTCTCTCTCTCTCTAGCGAGAGGTGCAAACACGGCAATAGCGCCGTAATTTGGGCATGGGAGCAAATAGAAGTTGGAGGAGGCAGGGGTTCGGCTGCCATGCAAGAGGGGGGGATAATTATCCTTGACAAAAGGAAATGCCTACTGATGGGAAGCGATCCGGGGTGGAACAAGAACACTTGTTCGGCGGCGCAATCGAAAAGACGCTGCTGTTCCGGAGCACGCCAGCACCCCTCTTATTTCCTTTCGGCACGTGATGATGCATCAACACAAGGAACATTTTTTCTCCTTGGCAAGGAACGGTTGGACTCCGCCCTTGAAAGCGAACTTAAGTTTTTCGTTCGAACTTTGTATTTGTAGCGGACAGTTCTTGCGAGCGATTTCTACGCGAGCGGTTCTTTATTTCCAACGACGGGGGCGAGCCACATCCACCACATCTGGTGAACCCCAACAATCACCTGCACAGTTTTCACCTTCATTCCACATACAGTGGGGAGGCCTCTATAGTGCCGGTTGAATAGCACAGCTTTTACCTTCATTCCACATACAGTGGGGAGGCCTCTATAGTGCCGGTTGAATAGCACAGCTCTTACCTTTATTCCACATACAGTGGGGGTCCTCTACAGTGCCGGTTGAATGGTGTCGGTGTTTTCGGCTCGCACGCACTGAATACCAAGTCGTCCTGTACCCTGAATAGTGCCGGTACCCCGGTGTAGTGCCGGAAAAACTCTTGAGACACCCCCCCCCGTCACTGTAGGGGGCGCCCCACTCTACCTACTCATGTCGACCTAGCGCGGCGATTTTCATACCATCACGCCAACGAACCGCCAGAAGTAAACACGACGCCATGACTCGCTGCGTTCCGAAGTTATGCGGTTTCTGCTCGTGTGCCGCTTCGCACAAATTGAGGAGTCGCGATGGAGCGAGAAGAGGCACATGGAGATGTTACAGCTGTTGTGTACGTAGTGTGGAACAAGGAGGAAAATAAGTCTATTTAGTGTAAACGGAAGCGAAGTTATGGCGTCGAAAAAGCGGGTCCGAAAATAAAAACACACCTTGGCTTCGATGGACATAAATTTAGCGGATGGAATCTGAAATACGTCTTTGGTGCGGTCAGCAATCGACGGCCATGTGAGGTTGGATGGCCGTGAACAGGGTGGGGATCATGTCGTCATCATGATCGAGGTGGCGTGATCTTGTTGTTGCACGTGGTAGCAAGGTCCGAAGAATATGCTTCGGACCTTCCGATCACGTACAACAACAAAAGCATGCCACACTTCCATCGTGACTACGACATGATGCCCACCCTGTTCACGGCCACCCAACCTCACAAGGCCGTCGATTGCGGACCGCACACCAAGGACGCATTTCGGGTTCCATCCGCAATGTCCATCGGAACGAAGGTATGTTCTCGATTTGGGCGCGCCTTATGGTCGTGTCCGTTCACGTTAGACTTATATACCTCCCTATTCCACACCAAATACCGTATATGACACAAGACAACACACCCCCTTGGCCGATTTTCAAAGTTCGATTTCTCAACAGCAGGAAGAGTCACAGCGCCGAAAACGGCGGCGTTGGAACCGTCTCGTCGAGAGCTCTTAGAAAATGTATTGTTTCGTTTATGCATCCTCTTCGTCGTGGAGTAATCGAGCTTTGAAAATCGGTCCAGGGGGTGTGTTATCTTGTGTCATATACGGTAACAGCTAAAACATCGCCATGTACTTCTTATACTCCCTCCATCGCGACTACACGTCGGGTATTTCATCACATATTTCGCCACTCATGGTGCCATGTTCTTTCAAACGTACATTCTGCCGCTTCATGCAGATTCATACACGCGGGACAATTTGCTTTGACGCGACCCTGTCTCGTCATTTTTCGCCCTCCGCAATATCCCCATCAATCAATTACACCTCCTCTTCATCTCCTCTTCTTCCTCTTTGCCGTTTTTTTCGCCCTTTTCTCAGGCGCTCTTCGAGAGGTGCTATCTTGTGACGGTAAGGATTTTATCGACCTCGACGACGGTGCTGAGAACGTCCGCGCCAGCTACATCCTCGACACCACTTTCATACGCCGATGTCGAGAAGAAGAAAATGGGGGCACCAGAACCGTTGGGGCTACCACATCGTCGCCCTCTTCCAACGACGTCACCATCACCAAACACCTATCCAAGCCACCCACTCGGGGAAACGATTGAACTCGCCTCTCGCCCTACCGACGGCGGCTCTAGGGCCTCTCTTTTCCAACCGCCCCGGCCGGCACCAACACAAAAAAACCAAAGACTTTCCTCCTGACAGGCGCGCGATGAAAGGCAAAAAAAAAAACGAGGTCCGCTCCCAATCCCGTTCCCCAGCGCCGACTCGTCCGTAGAAGAGAACCTGATGAAGAAGAAACCGACGACATGAACAGGATCCCAACTTTTCTGCCGGCGACAAAGGAGACGCCAACGACAACTACGACGACGACGACAACCACGACGACGACGAAACCACTGACTGACGACTCCAACAACGACGCCTCCGGCGACGGCGACGACACCGAGCAGTTCCTACCGTTTATATCTCCTTTCCTCTCTTCCTGTTTCTACCCCCTGGATTCGACTAACTTTCTGAAGTGCTCCCCCTGTTTCCCTCTGCCACTGTTATTGTTGGCTGCTATCTCATCGTTCTGAACCGCTCCCGTCCCACGCTGTGCCTCTGTTGCTGTCTGCGATTCCTACCTATCTGGATAATATTTTCTACTCCGGTGTTCCCTCCCGTGTATTTGTCCGTCGCGAGTTTCACCGTTGTCGCTTTCCGGTGTCTCCCGCTGTCAATACTTTTGAAAACGTTGGTTGTGACTGTCTTGACGTCTTGACTACTTTTCTTCGGCAACCCCATGCCAAACGATAGTTGAGCGTCCTTTGCGACATCGTTGTTGCTTACGAACCGTTCACGCAAACAATCGTTTGGCGTTGTTGTACATCGGTTACTCCCCGGACCGTTTGGTTCTTCTGCCCCCGTTGATTTTTTTCGTCTATGGCGTCGTCAAGGTATATGTTACGATAAACTTCGATATGCATCGGTGACCAGTATCGACGTATTCACTTGGGATGTTCTTCAGCTTTTCTACAACCCTTCGCTCTCACTATTTTCCCTCTTTCTTTGTTTACATTAGTTGGGTATGTACGTGATCTCCACTTTTCTTTCGTGCTTTCCTTCTCTTACCTGATTTCTTCTTCTCTTACCTTTTTTAAGTTAATACCACAATATACCATTTTGTACATTTGCCCCCGTTTGATCGTGTCGATCCACGGTTTCAACTCCGTTGCCGCGGCGTCTTTCTCCGCTTGCTTGTTTTTTTCCATGTATTGTTTGGGCCCCGCCGCCCCCACGGCGAGGGGGTGCGGTAGGTACCATAGTTACACATGTATATTGTAGATAGTGCTCTGTAGGATCCACCTCTGAACTGTGCTTCCAAACGCGTACAGCATTTCCCTATTTCTCGTGAGAACTTGATAAGCCCCTATGCCTCCCTCTCGCAACATAGTACACACAAAACATGCATGTATCCATGCACTGCAATGTACAAGTCCATATGTAGCATGCTAAGCTAAGAAACAGTACCTGTGTGACCAGGGTTTGGAGTGCAGAACGCGCCACCACTTATCAAGTGTGAGACAAGTGTGAGGTCAAAACTCCAAATCTAGGAACTTGGCCATATTAACAGGTTCTCATCCAAGAATTCTACACCAAAACCTATATATTTATAGTTGGCGTGGGGTAGTCTACTCCTTAGACAAGAAAATAAACGAGCCTCGCCCAAAATAAGAGGTTTCGTAAGTGGTGGCGCGTTCTGAAAACGGCAAAAATAATGTGAGCACTGAATTGAAGCGAAGACCAAAATATATGTATAAAAATACCTGGAACGCGCCCAGAGCACGCTCGCTCTCGTCTCGAGCGGCTTCGGCACGGTCTGCCAGCGACCGCGCGGACTCCGCCGCCTGCCTAGCCTCGTCAGAGCTGCGCTTCAGCGCT